CTGATACACGTAGCCAGCTGACTTACATCCAGGGGGTCTATGACATTTCCAGACTGCACACTTTTTATTCATTATCGGCATCCTCATTTCCACTACCGAGAGCTAACCGTAAACAGGCTAACCTGAGCATTATTTAGGCTAGCCTGAGTGTTATTTAGGCTATGCAGAGTGATTTTTAGGCTAACCAGGCTACTATTTAGGCCTGAATGTAGTTTTTAGTTTGTAAATGTCATACACTGCATTCCATGTTTGTTATCAATTTTTGATAGATGTATACATGTACAATACAATACAATACAATACAATACCTTGCAATGCTCTATTCCCTCTATGAGATGTGCCTGCAGGGAATCATGGTAGTTGTATTTATAAAAACAAATATCCAATCCAAGATGATTAAAACAACTACCATCATGTCTCCCTACAGGTGCATCTCATGGAGGGAATGGCTATTATGGCATACCATGCAATGCAATACAGCACATATATCTTAATAGATGTTTTGATGTACAAAGCATTACTCTATATTATTATGAGTCAATGTGCTGTATTTTGATGAGCAAGACAATACACAAACAACGAATAAAATTATACTTCGATACTGCACATGAAATTGTGTAATAAGTGATTTATTTCCCAAATGTTGTAGTCAATATTTAGTTATCAGCGAAAGAGAGAAAGTGCGACAGTTTTGCATGTCTTGCACAGACCTGACAAGTAGGAAAATAACTTGTTATACAATTTTGCTGTATATTTGTACCCTTTCACTTGTTTTTTGAACTATTATTACTGCAGTTCAATAATTATGTGAGTTATAAACAGATCCAGTGAAACAAAACAGCACTGAGTTTCACACATAATGTAAAATGCAAATTCAAACTTAACAGTGCTGACATTTACCTTCAGATACAAAAGCAGACAAAATACCAACATTTTGATCTGCACCTATAAAGAAGTAACTAATGCACAGAAAAGTTGAGGACAGTTGCTTTGGAAACATGCTCTTACACTTAAAGTTGGCACTGAACAATTTTGACACTAACAACGACGCAAGACATCTGCACCATGCCATGTCAGATGTGAGCACAAGAATCTAGTAAACCAAAGTCAGGCAAACTAGCTGGGCAATGGGAAATGGAGCACTCTGTTCTCCATTGTTATTTCTTTTTTCATACAAGTATTTAACTTTGTATCAACGTCTCATCGATATTTTTTATGTGAGGAGTTGAGCTAATTCACAGAATTCTTTGTGCAACTATTGTATTCTGACAACCACTTGAAGATTTTGATTCAGTTAATTATTAGAAACACTCTTCTGTCCAGAAGACACTCTACAAACAACTACCCATTGATCAACATGCAACCTTACAACAAGCTATCGTAAGAAGTATACAAAATGTACAGTGATTAGCGTTGTTGCTTCCTTTTTATTCCACGTACAGTTACATTTTAATAAAAGAACCTTGTAAATTCTCCATGCAAATTGATTGTTGTTCAACATGTCTATATTCCCTTTACAGCCATAGTAAAAACTTAATATCAGAACTTCAGTGTAATTCAAGGCCATTAAGTCATCGACTTGGGGCTAACGTTCTCAGTTACAGACTTTTATATAGTAGGCTTAGCAATTCCAGGAAACCATTTTGATATTTCATGAACAAGTTAATTTGACATTTGTCGGTAAACTTCTGTCAATAACATTTCCTGCTTAAAACTTATCATTTCTTCCACTACTCCATGGACGGCTCTCCCCTTAAAGTGTCCGTCTCTGATTATGGCTCCAGTTAGCTGAAAACGCATTAAACACGCGTATGCATTGCGGACCTATTTTTTAACACGACCTCACCCTTATAGTGCAAGTACTGTATTTATTCAATTAAACGCCGAGGCGTATGATAAATTTATCGTGATTCGAGTGCGGCGTTTATTCGATGGTGGCGTTTATAAGAGGGCGGCGTGTATTTAAAATCCAATTCATTTATTGCAAACAATAGTATGGTAACTGAAAATTTGAATTTTAAAAAACAGAAACACGTTTAAGTGCTTGTCTGGAAAGTCATTTTCTATATCGTTCTCAATTTCACAATTTGAATGTTAATACTATTGCAATACATAAAGTGAATAAAGCTCACTCAATTTCAATGTCACTTTCCTCTTCATGAGCCAGTTAACCACTCCGCTTTGACAACGAGACTGTGCATTGCAAGAATTCTGGAGATTAGGGAGCTTAGTGAAAGAGCATTGAAGTATACTATCTTCGAACTAAAAAAAAACATTGTTATCTCCAAACCTTTATTAAGCTATTCTGTCAACTACCGTATATTATTCGCGTGTTTTGATTATATTCCTTTGAGCTTCGAATGTACTGCTCTTAAACATACAATCAAGGAAAAAATTTTTTTTCTCAAACTGGAATATTACCGCATTTGCTTTTTTTGAGTCTATTTTTGCAATAAACGCCGCATCATGATGCCTTTATTCGAGGGCGGCGTTTATTCCAATAAATACGGTATTTTAACATCAAATGACTATCAGCTACGTCAATTCGTGACACATCCTGTCTAGTTCCCCTTGTTCTCCTTTACCCACCCTGCTAAGAAGAAAAAGAGAGCTTCCTCGCGAATATCACAAAAACCCGTACAACAGCGAAAGTCTATCAGAGTTACTGATCTCGTTCAGACATTTTCTTTTTCACATTTGACTACTTTCCAGGACAACGAGCAATTCTCAGTCACCAGCGCAGCAAGTAACGTAATCAACAAAATACACATTAACACCGCTAAAAGTCGGATACGACATAGCTCCACTAAGATCACCTAACTTGCCTCCTTTCCCTTTGAAAAACACACAGTCGCCCTTAGAAAAATGAATACGAAGCAATTGAATATTCGGGTATAAAGTTGAGGCCGCGCCAGAAAGCACGTTTTATACGGGAAGTTGAATGACCTTCAATAAACTTCAGTGATATCAAGTGACCAGTGTGTCGCAATTTCTGGATATTTTATACATATGATTGAGTAACGTTCAGAAAAAACACATACAACAGCAGCATTTTTAAATATCAAGCAAAATTTGAATACTTCATTCCCCGCGAAAAACCAGATCTAAAACACAGACGAATGTATATGGATTCGAAATGCGTCAACAAAGATTATGCATTATTATGTATCGAATATTATGTATCGAATACGTACCTCAGCTCAGACCTTCACTTCAGCTGATCAGACAGAAAACCATGATTCAGATGATCTCAGATGACTTGTTAGCCTATGGAGAACAGATTACAGCAATTACTACACGAGTCGTTGAGAAACATTGGAAAAGTTTGAGTTTCTGAATCGACTAGAACCTTCCAGTGTATGGAAAATGACTGAAAACGAAACCAAAAGTTGAATTACAAATGATCAAAAAGGGGTTTTTCCCTCATTCCATGAAAGATTAGCGCTCTGGCTCATGACCTCATAATATTAATCTGGCTTGTACACGCGATCAACAGTGTAAGAGAAAGGATTCGAAAAGTCGCCTGTGTGTTAATTACTTGATTAATTGGTATTTTTTGTTAGTTTTTCATCTTTGATTACGAATACAACTTTATGGCGCAAGTATTTAAACACCAAATGACTATCAGCTATATCAATCCTTCACACATCCTGTCTGGTTCTCCTTGCTCTCCCTTACCCCACCCTGCTCAGAAGAGCTGTAAAGACAGTTTTCTCGCAGGCTACTTCTCAAATATCACAAAAACAGGTCACCATTTCGTTCAGGCTCTTTCTTTTTCGCACTTGATTACTTTTAAGGATATATCGTGACAATTAGTAATTCTCAGTCACCAGCGAGTATCGTCATCAACAAATTACACATTAACACCGCTCAAAGTCGAGTACACGACAAAGCTCCACCAACATCACCTAACTTGCCTCGTTTCCCTTTGTAAAACAGACAGTAGCCCTCTGAAAAATGAATACGAAGCAATTGAACATTCGGGTATAAAGTTGTGGCCGGAAGGCACGTTTGATACGGGAAGTTGAATGACCTTCAATAAACTTCAGTGATATCAATTGATGTGTGTCGCAACTTCTGGATATTTAATACATATCACTGAGTAACGTTGAGAAAAAACACATACAACAGCAGCATTTTTAAGTATTAAGCAAAATTTGAATACTTCATTCCCCACGAGAAACCAGATCTAAAATACAGATGAATGCATATGGATTCAAAATGCGTCAACAAAGATTATGCATCTATTATGTCTCGAATACGTACCTCAGCTCAGACCTTCACTTCAGCTTATCAGACAGAAAACTATGATTCATGATCAGATGGTCTCAGATGACTTGCTAGCCTATGGAAAACAGATCACAGCAATTACTACACGAGTCGTTGAGAAACATTGCAAAAGTCTGAGTTTGTGAATCGACTAGACCCTTACCACGTATAGGAAATGACTGAAAGCGAAACCAAAACTTGAATTACAAATAATCAAAAAGGGGTTTTTCCCTCATTCCATGAAAGATCAGCGCTCTGGTTCGTGACCTCATAGTATTAATCTGGCTCGTACACGTAATCAGTAGTGCAAGAAAAAGTATTCGAAAAGTCGCCTGCGTGTTAATTACTTGATTACTTGGCATTTTTGGTTAGTTTTTCATTTTGATTACGAATAAAACCTTATTGCGCAAGTATTTAAACACCAAATGACTATCAGCTATATCAATCCTTGATACATCCTGTCTGGTTCTCCTTGCTCTCCCTTACCCCACCCTGCTCAGAAGAGCTGTAAAGACAGTTTTCTCGCAGGCTACTTCGCAAATATCACAGAAACTCCTACAACAGCGAAAGTCTATCGCAGTTTACTGTTTTCGTTCGGGCTCTTTCTTTTTCACACTTGATTACTTTCCAGGATACATCGTGACAATTCGCAATTCTCAGTCACCAGCGAGTAACGTCATCGACAAAATACACATTTACACCGCTAAAAGTCGAATACACGACATAGCTCCACTAAGATCACCTGACTTGCCTCCTTCCCCGTTGAAATACAGACAGTCGCCCTTTGAAACTTAACTAAACTAATCAACTGTTGAACATTCAGATACAAAGTTGAGTTGATATGGGAAGTTGAATGACCTTCAATGAACTTCAGTGATATCGAGTGGTTGCAATTTCTGGACATTAAGTTAATATGACTGAGTACGGTGTAGCAAAAATGATTACAACTGCAGCATTTTTCACTATTAAGCAAACTTTGAATAGTCATTCCTAACAAGAAACCAAATCTAAAATACAGACAGTACATTTGGATTCAAAGTTCATTAACAAAGATTAAACATATTTCGCACCGAATACTTACCTCAGAACTTTACCTCAGCTGATCAGACGGAAAACTATGATTCAGATAACTCGGTAGCCTGTGGAGAAACGTTTACACCAATTAAACTTAAAATATTTGAACAGTTGGAGTATCTGAATAGAAGAACTTCTTCGCACCTTACCTTACCTCGTGTTGAAACACAACAGAAAGTGAAACAGGAAGTTGAATAACAAATGAAATCGGGAAAGGGGGGTTCCCCTCATTTCATGCATAACTGGGCTATAATTGATTTCTCGACTTTCGTGCCGCACGTTATTTATGCTTAAGTTTATATCTCGACAGAGTTTTCAAGCATGAGAGCTAAGAAGTTTCTTTTCATTAGATAATTAAAGCATTTAAATACGAACAGTTTATTCCCCACCAAAAACCAGATCTAAAATACCAAACAATACATATGGATTCAAAATGCGTCAACCAAGATTAAACATATGTCGTATCGAATAACTACCTCAGACCTTCGCCTCGGCTTATCAGACAGAAAATTATGATTCAGATGACTCGGTAGCCTGTGGAGAAAAGTTTACAGCAATTACTGCATGGTTCGTTGAAAAATATTGGAAAAGTCAGAGCTTCTGAAAAGACGAAACTTTCTGCACAACTAACCTTACGTCCATTGTAAAACAAATGAATGTGAAATCGAAATTTGACTTACAAAGTTATAATAAAATAGGGGGTTTCCCTCATATCATACACAATAGATCAGTGCAATAGTATGTCTCGTGTCCTCATAATATTTATCCGACATGTACACGTGATCAGTAATGTAGAAGAAAGGGAGAAAACTCGGCTGTATGTTACTTGGTTGATTACTTTCTTGGCACTTGTAGGTCGGTTTAGTCAGTTTCTCATCATTGATGAAGCCGAATCCAACCTTATTTTTTAATTATGTACACGCCAAATGATTGACAACTTTGTCAATCCGTGACACATCCTTGTTAGTTCTCCTTGTTCTCCCTTCCCCACCCTGCTCAGAAGAGCTGTAAAGACAGCTTCCTCGCAAGCTACTTTATAGCAAATATCACAGAATCCCCAACACAGCGAAAGTCTATCACAGTTTACTGTTCTCCTTCAGGCGTATTTTTTTTTTCTCTCAAAGTTGATTACTTTTCAGGATATATCGTGACAATGAGCAATTCTCGGTCACCAGAGAGTAACGTCATCAACAAAATAAACATTTTAATGTTATTTTAGCGGTGTTAAAACACCGCTAAAAGTCGGATACGACATAGCTCCACTAAGATTACCTAACTTGCCTCCTTCCCCTTCGTAAAACACACAGTAGCCCTTTGAAAAATGAATACGAAACAATTGAATATTCGAGTAGAAAGTTGAGGCCGGGAGGCACGTTTGATACGGGAAGTTGAATGACCTTCAATAAACTTCAGTGATATCAATTGATGTGTGTCGCAATTTCTTGATATCTTATACATATGATTGAGTAACGTTTAGAAAAAACACATACAACATCAGCATTTTTAAATATTAAGCGAAATTTGTATACTTTATTCCTCACGAGAAACCAGATCGGAAAAACAGACAATGCGTATGGATTCAAAATGCGACAACAAAGATTACCCATCTATTGTGTATCCAATACGTACCTCAGCTCAGACCTTAACTTCAGCTTATTAGTCAGAAACTATGATTCAGATGGTCTTAGATGACTTGCTAGCCTATGGAGAACAGATTACAGCAATTACTACATGAGTCGTTGAGAAACATTACAAAAGTCTGAGTTTCTGAATCGACTAGACCCTTCCAGTGCATGGAAAATGACTGACAGCGAAACCCAAAGTTGAATTTTAAATAATCAAATAGGGGTTTTTCCCTCATTCCATAAAAGATCACCGCTCTGGCTCGTGACCTCATAATATTAATCTGGCTTTTACAGGTGATCAGTAGTGTAAGAGAAAGGATTCGAAAAGTCGCCTGTGTGTTAATTACTTGATTACTTGGTATTTTTTGTTAGTTTTTCATCTCTGATTACGAATACTACGTTACGGCGCAAGTATTTAAACACCAAATGACTATCAGCTATGTCAATCCTTGACAGATCCTGTCTAGTTCTCCTTGCTGTCCCTTACCCCACACTGCTCAGAAGAGCTGTAAAAACAGCTTCCTTGCATGCTACTTCGCAAATATCACAGAAACCCCTACAACGACGAAAGTCTACTTTATAGTAAATATCATAGAATCCCCAACACAGCGAAAAGCTAACACAGTTTACTGTTCTCCTTCGGGCGTTTTTTTTTTTTTTTTCTCAAGGTTGATTACTTTTCAGGATATATCGTGACGATGAGCAATTCTCAGTCACCAGCGAGTAACGTCATCAATAAAATACACATAAACACCGCTAAAAGTCGAATACACGACACAGCTCCACTAACATCACCTAACTTGCCTCGTTCCCCTTTGAAATACACACAGTCACCCTTTGAAACTTAACTAAACTAATAAACAGTTGAATATTCGGGCATAAAGTTGAGTTGATATGGGAAGTTCAATGACCTTCAATGAACTGCAGTGATATCAAGTGATTGCTTTTGCAATTTCTGGACGTTACATATTACTATGACTAAGTACGGTGTAGGAAAAAATGATGACAACCGCAGCATTTTTCACTATTAAGCAAAATATGAATTGTTCATTTCCTACGAGAGACCAAATCTAAAATACAGACAGTACACATGGATTCTAAATTCGTCAACAAAGATTAAGCAAAAAAAATTGTCGCATCGAGTACTTATCTCAGACCTTTACCTCAGCTTATCAGACGGAATACCATGATTCAGATGGCACAGTAGCCTATGGCGAAAAGCTTAAAGCAATTAACTTTAAAATATTTGAACAGTTGGAGTTTCTGAATAGAAAAACTTCTGCGCACCTGGACTATAATTGATTTCTCGACTTTCGTGCAGCACGTTGTTTATGCTTAAGTTTAGATCTCGACAGAGTTTTCAAGTATGAGAGCTAAGCAGTTTCTTTTCATTGGATAATTAAAGCATTTAAATAGGAAGAGTTTATTCCCCACCAAAAACCAGATCTAAGATACAAACAATACAAATGGATTCAAAATGCGTCAACCAAGATTAAACATTGAGTAACGTTGGAAAAAAAAAAAATACAACAGCAGCATTTTTAAATATTAAACAAAATTTGTAAACTTTACTCCCCACGAGAAACCGGAGCTAAAATACAGACAATGCGTATGGATTCAAAATGCGTCAACAAAGATTATGCATCTATTTTGTATCGAATACGTACCTCAGCTGAGACCTTCACTTCAGCTGATCAGACAGAAAACTATGATTCAGATGTTCTCAGATGACTTGCTAGCCTATGGAGAACAGATATTACAGCAATTACTACACGAGTCGTTGAGAAACATTGCAAAAGTCTGAGTTTGTGAATCGACTAGACCCTTACCGCGTACAGAAAATGACTGAAGGCGAAACCAAAAGTTAAATTACAAATAATCGAATAGGGGTTTTTCCCTCATTCTATGAAAGATCAGTGCTCTGGCTCGTGACCTCATAACATTAATGTAAGAGGAAGGATTCGAAAAGTCGCCTGTGTGCTAATTACTTGATTACTTGGTATTTTTGTCAGTTTTTCATCTTTGATTACGAATACAACTTTATGGCACAAGTATTTAAACACCAAATGACTATCAGCTATGTCAATCTTTTCAAACATCCTGTCTGGTTCTCCTTGCTCTCCCTTGCCCCACCCTGCTCAGAAGAGCTGTAAGAACAGCTTCCTTGCAGGCTTCTTCGCGAATATCACAGAAACTCCTACAACAGCAAAAGTCTTTCAAAATTTACTGTTTTCGTTCCGGCTCTTTCTTTTTCACACTTGATTACTTTCCAGGATACATCGTGACAATTAGCAATTTTCAGTCAGCAGCGAGTAACGTCATCAACAAAATACACATAAGCACCGCTAAAAGTCGAATACACAACATAGCTCCTCTAAGATCATCTAACTTGCCTCCTTCCCCGTTGAAATACAGGCAGTTGCCTTTTGAAACGTAACTGAACTAATAAACAGTTTAATATTCGGATATAAAGTTGAGTTGATATGGGAAGTTGAATGACCTTCAATGAACTTCAGTGATATCGAGTGGTTGCTTCTGGACATTTTTGACATTAAATTAATATGACAGAGTACAGTGTAGGACAAAATGTATACAAAAGCAGCATTGTTTCACTAATAAGCAAAATTTGAATATTTCATTCCTTAAGAGAGACCAAATCTGAAATACAGACAGTACATATGGATTCAAAATTCGTCAACAAAGATTAAACATGTTTCGTATTGAATACTTTCCTCAGACCTTCGCCTCGGCTGATCAGATGGAAAACTATGATTCGGATGGCTCGGTAGCCTATGGAGAAAAGTTTACAGCAATTAAATTTAAAATATTTGAAGAGTTGGAATTTCTGAAGAGAAGAACTTTTGCATGCTAGCTTACCTTAGCGCGTGTTGAAACACAACAGGAAGTTGAATAACAAATTAAATCAAGAGACGGGGATTCCCCTCATTTCATGCATAACTGGACTATAAATGATCTGTCGACTTTCGTGCAGCACGTTGATTATGCTTAAGTTTATATTTCGACAGAGTTTTCCAAGCAGTTTCTTTTCATTAAATAATTAAAGCATTTAAATAGGAAGAGTTTGTTCCGCACCAAAAACCTGATCTAAAATATAAACAATACATATGGATTCAAAATGCGTCAACCAAGATTAAACATGTGTCGTATTGAATAACTACCTCAGACCTTCGCCTCAGCTGATCAGACAGAAAACTATGATTCAGATGACTCGGTAGCCTATAGAGAAAAATTTACAGCAATTACACCGCCTGGTTGGTTGAGAAATATTGGAAAAGTCTGAGCTTCTGAAAAGACGAAACTTTCTGCACAACTAACCTTACGTGCATTGTAAAACAACTGAATGTAAAATCGAAATATGATTTACAAAAGTTATAATAAAATAGGGGGTTTCCCTGATACAATACAAAATATATTAATGCATAATAAAATAATTATTATATTAATCTGATATTAATCTGACTTGTACACGTGATCAATAATGTAGGAGAAAGGGAGAAAAGGCGCCTATGTGTTACTTGGTTGATTACTTTCTTTGCACTTGTAGGTATTTTTAGTCAGTTTGTCACCTTTGATTAGGTAAAATGCAACCTTATTTTTAAACTATCTAACGCCAAATGACTGACAACTTTGTCAATCCGTGACACATGCTGTCTAGTTCTCCTTGTTCTCCTTTCCCCACCCTACTAAGAACAGCTGTAAAGACAGCTTCCTTGCAGGTTACTTAGCGAATATCAGTGGTTCCCGGTATCACGCTTTTAGGGAGATTGTTTTTGTTTTTTGTTTTGTTGTTCTCTAAGTCAATCATGATTAGTTTCTGAGAAGTACTCGGCGTGTCTCGGGGAGACGGAAATTAGAGATTAAAAAACGAGCGCGCGTTGGATATCAGATATCATCATCAGATATCCAACAAGAGCTAGTAGAATAATTGTTTTATTAAAAACGCCCCCAAAATATAGGAAACTAAACTAAAATTAAAATAAACACGTACATATACGCCTACCATATTTGTAGAGCATGGTATAATGGTTCTTAGTATATAAACACCAGTAAAATACTACGATCTTTCCTTTTACTAAGAAATCATATCTTCATCCCTCGCAGTGAAGATACTACTATTATCTTCGACACTGTGAAGATAACATTCACGTTTGATAACATTTCTCTTTTGTCTCTTCAACTACACTTAAATTTGTTAATTTATGATCGAAACATCTTCGGATCTTTTTCGGTCGTCTTCGGCAATTTTCGGCAAGCTTCGGTAATCTTCTTAAAATGTTCGAAAGCGTTCGTCTGGCCTTCGGAACAATTTTGGAAAATCTTCGGAAATCTTCGGAAAATCGTCAAAAACGTCGTCATTAGTATGTTTTATAATAAACCAGGAGCCATAATCGGGGACGGAGACCGTAAGTCTTGGGATCCGCGCGCACCTATGATATGGGACNGTACCGCCATAACTCCGAAATTCAAAATGCGCTGGTTTCCAAACGAAGGACGCTATTGAGCTGGAAAGTTGTAAATAGATATAATTAGTATCTCTGCCTAATGAGGATGAAACCTTTAGGGACTCTTTAGTTTTGGATTTGCGAATTTGATGACTTCACGTGAACACACTCCATATGACGGGCACCTGTATATGTATACACCTGTCAAATCTGGGTGTGATTTAAGAACTTGCCGAGGCTCTACTCATGTAAAATTTCTCTTAATTTTGCGGGTTATGTTGATAATGGGGCCCACGGTCAAAGGAACACTGTAACGATAAAATTTTGACCTGAAGTCCTTCGCTCGTAGACCAAATGTGCCTCAAACCTGTCAAATGTTTCTTTGTTTTTTTATTAAACACCAGTGCACTGATGAAGAAAGCAAATTGTGAATGTTTTAAACGATTTTTCTAAGAAACAACGACAAAATTTGTTTCTAGTTTCACATCACAACCTTGCTAATACGCAACCCATAATATCACTCTTTTAATAGCTTCCTTACACTTACAGTATATGTTATTTAACGAAAGTAGGTCATTATTTCAAGTTTCAATCACTTAAAATATAACTTTTGACAGGAGCCATAATCGGGGACGGAGACCGTAAGTCTTGGGATCCGCGCGCACCTATGATATGAGACAATTTTTCTATTTTTAGAACA